ACAGTGCATCCTGGGGACAAATTACACAAGAAAGGAAAAAGAAAAACAAAATGGTCATAAGGTTCACAACACAAACGACATCATAAAAACATCCTTCAAAGAGTTTGTATTTTTTCGCCCACAAATAATTAGCTAGTTAGATTACTGTTTGAGAATCTGTAACTTCCAGTAAGTGAATTATTTTCCTTAATATTAAGAAACCATGAAATCCAAATTTTAAAATTCTTACAATCTAGCCAATCAAACATGGGACAAACAACTTCTCTCTGAAAGTCCTTATACTGTATTTCATCGTCAAACGCCTTTCTCCTATCTCCTGACTTCATCTCTATACACTCAAACCAAGAAAGAATGGAGAGAAAATGACATTTTTGGGTTCCTAGAAGAGTGGGGGCAGCTTTTGCGAATCGACTTGCCGGCTGTTAGCATGAGCTGGGTGAGCTTTGGGGACGGGAGAATCTGTGGTATCTGGAAATCTTTTCTATACATACACTCGCCCTGCAAGTCCTCACTTTCTTGGCGCACGCACCAAACTCTCAAAACCACCAAAAAAAGAGAAGGGGAGGCGTCGCCCATCCCTCCCGGCATCACGCCGCTCCCAACTCCCCGCTCCCCGAGTCTGCCCGGATGCCCACGGGAGGAGCCGCGTGAACCAGCCAGGTGCGCCGGCCGCGGACGCCCTGTCGGCTCTTCCCCGCAAGGGGGCGCCTGGTTCTCCCCGCCCGGCGGGGCGGGGTCGGAGTCGGAGGGGAAAGCGCTCATGCCCACCTTGCTCGCAGGTGCCCTTGCTGACCTGGGTGATGGCCTTCTCCCCGCGGCTCTCGGCCTTCAGGCTGGCGGCGCGCAGCTGGCAGCCGCTGGGGTAGGTGATGCCGTCGCTGCCGCACACCGGGTAGCGGCTCTTGCACACGCACACGCCGCTCACCTCCGGGCCGCCGGCTGCTGCCCCGGCTTTACCCTTCCGCCTCTTGCGGCTCTTCACGCACTCCATGCCCGGCGCGCAGTGCCCCCTGCCGGCGCCGCTGCCCCCGCACGGCTCGCCCTCGCCGCGGGCGCACACCGGGCAGCAGCCGCACGCGTCGCGGGTCTCGCCCAGCTGGCAGCCCCGCGGGGGCAGGGGCGGGCAGGCGGCCGGCTCGCAGGGGCCGCAGGCGTCCGAAGAGGAGGAAGAGGAGAGGGGCAGAAGCAGGAGCAGCAGCCCGGCTGCGCCGAGGAGCAAGGCGGACAGCGGCGGCCGCTCCATGGCGGGGAGCGTTGACTGCGGCGGGAGCGCGAGTGAGCCGCGTCCCGCCGGCCAGCGCTTTAAATCCGGCGCCCCGCCCGGCCGGGCTGCGGGAACCACACCCCCCGGGCGGCTAGAGCTTGGCAGCCTCGTCCGCACCGCCCCTCCCGGGACCGCGGGGCTCGAGCGCGCCCCTGCTGGCGGGGCATCCGCTGGGCCCGGGGACGCTCCGTCTCTTCTTCGCTTTTGGTTTTGGCTCTGAGCGCACCCCGCCGGCTGGCGCTCAGCCCCCTGCTCCCGAGGGCTGCACCCCGTCCTTTGGGGCTCTCCCGCAGTGAAGACAGTTCCCTCCCCTCTGGTCCCCCGCCTCTCGCAGTCCGGGCATTCATACTTATTAACAACAGCTTTGAGATGACCCCATGTGTAATCCATTATATTCTCCGTGAGTCTGGGAGACCTGAGTGTTGATTGCTCTGCGGTTTGGGAAGCTCTTTTAAGAACAATTAGTTTTTCAAACCCCGCTTGGGGATTTTGTGTCCCCGTTGGCCACAGGCCCGGTGTGGTCTTGGGTGCCAAGCTAAAAGGACAAACCGTTGCCAACCACTCCTGTTCTCAGCACCTCATAACTGCTTCCTTATGCCAAGTTTTAAGTCTGAGTACTGGAACCCATGCGAGAACAAGTCATGTCTTCAGTCTATAATATGTGGTGCTGGACCTCCATCAAACCTCTCCGGACAACTGAGCACAGCTGGGGGTGCCACTGAGGCCCCTAAAGCACCCCAGTTTTCACCAGTCATTCCGTGAGGTTTTTGATATTAACAACTGAAATTCCTCCTCAGTCTTTCTCAAAAGTGCTCTGCAAACTCAACTTCAAAGCTTTTTTTCCAATGAAAAGGGCTCTTCAAATCCCTCTTACCCAGACTTTTGTTTCCATGTTTATTAGATACACAACACTGCAGTGTGCATCATTCTGCACGTCACATCTGAGTTCTTTTTTCTTAGCACAAATCCAAGGATGTATAGGATTGCTAACTCCAAGTGTGCGGTTCACTATGCCACCAGCAATGTATAGATGTCACTCTCACCAGTCTTCCTGGGATAATCATTGTAAACTTTTCTGAAAATTAAATAGTCACAAAACTCAGAGAATAAAAATCCAAGCACCCTCCTAACCAGAAAACCTAGCACCTATTCTTTGGCCTCTCCTTAGCATATTCTAGAAAAGTGGCACTTTTTTTTTAAAGGTCATGTGTTGTGATGACAACTGTTTATAAAACAATGAAAAGCCTTTGGAGCAGATTTCTCTAAGTATTCTTGCCTTTGTCCCTCAGTAATAGAGTTTACATGACCCAGTCTACAGTCCCAAACTAAAATGCAGAGAGTGCACTCTGATATTGCCTGTTCTATCTCAATTTTATTAATTCACTGGTCAAGGTCCACTAAGTTGGTTTCATGACCTGTTATAACTGTTGTAGTTTTAGGATCTCCAGAACCTGAGACAAGGATTCCAGTGCAAGTAGTTTACCTGAGAGGCCATGTCAGGACATACCAACTGGGGGGGCAGAGGCGGTAGGGAGTGAGCCAGAGGGGAAGACAGCCAATAAAGATGCTTATCAAGTCAGCTCTGGGCAGGGTGGGCTCTGTAGCCAGATGAAGCCCCCTCAGGCTCTGCAAAGTTTTGTGTATGGGGGGTTGGGGGAGTAGGGGGCAGGCACTGCACCACTAAGGGCTGTATACCACAGTGTTTTTCAAACCCTGTGGAGCCAGTAGTAAGAAGGCAAATACGAGGCACAGTAGAATCCCTTTGGCGGCGTGGGGAGACCCTTATTGCCCAGCAAGCAGAAGAGCAAATAGGGTTTTTAATCACTGAAGGGGGTGCCTGGGCTTTGTGTGATGACACCAATCTGGAGGACTTGAAAATAAGAAGAGATGTGGTTATTCAGAAGAAGGAGAAAAGGCAGGAAAATGGGGCCTTTACAAAGAAACTTGACAACCCCTGTCTTCCAAGAAAGAAGATATTGTCACCCATTCAGCTTCAGTTCTGGTGAGACGAAGAGCCTAGATCTGGAGACAGGATATGTTATCTGCAAATAGAGAGCATTTTACTTCTTCCTGTTTAAGCTAGATGACCTATATTTCTTTTTCTTGCGTAATTGCCCTGGTTAGAACCTCTAGTATAACATGGAATAGATTTGTGAGAGTGAGCTCCCTTGCCTTATTACTGACCTTAGAGGGAAAGCTTTCAGTCTTTCACCATTAAGATGTTAGCTGTGGGTTTTCCATAGATGGTCTTATTACACTGAAGAAATTGCTTTCCATTTCCAGTTTGTTGAGTGCCTTTATCATGAAGAGGTATTGCATTTTGTCAAATGTCTTTTTTGCATCTACTGAGATGATCAATAAAGTTGTATTTTATGTTATTGATTTTTGAATGTTAAACCAAGGAATGTTAAACCATTCCTGGATTAAATCCCACTTGTTATATAGTGATGTATAATCCTTTTAAATATGTTTCTGGATGTGATTTGCTAATATTTTGCTGAGGATTTTTGCATCTATATTCATAAGAGATATTGGATTGTAATTTTCTTGTGATGTCTTTGATTTTGGTATCAGGGTAATAGTGGGTTCACAGGATGAGTTAGAAGTGTTTTCTTATCTTCTGCTTTTTTGGAAGAGTTTGTGAAGAATTGGTATAATTCTTCTTTAACTGTTTAGTAAAATTCAGTGAAGCCATCTGGACCTGGGTTTTTCTTCATGGGAAGTGTTTGGCTATTAACTCAATCTCTTTACTTATTATAGGTCTGTATTAGTTTGCTAGGGCTACCATAACAAAATACCACAGACTGTGTGGTTTAAACAACAGAAATTTATTTTCTCACAGTTCTGGAGGCTGGAAGTCCAAGATCAAGGTGCCAGCAGGGTTGTTTTCCTCTGAGAGTCATAAGGGCAAGATCCTCCCCACAAGGTGCCACCCACAAAATACCAAGAACCCTCCTCCCTTCACTAAATAAGACTGCTGCTTTACCAGTTATAGCTTTACATTGCTCAAGTCTGCCTTTCTTATAGATAAGATTTATTGAGATACTCAGTCACAGAATTCTCCCCATCTAGAGCAAGCTCCTGCTTCCTTAGACCTTTGCCAAAATTACTCAACCAAAGCCCAAATCCCATAAGAATTTCATAACTTCCTCTTACTGAGACCCCCAACAGTTCCATATGGAGTCCATTCTCTCTTGCTAAGATGGGTAATAAACCCAACTTATTTGACTATGGGTATGTTCCTGGAGGTCTTTAGATGAAGGGCAATGACACATGAGAGACTTCCTTTCAGCTCCTTCTCTTCTATCCTACTTCAGCTCAAAATTCTCCTGCCCGAACCCATAGTACACTCCAATAACCTTCGCTGATGGGTCCTTGTACCTGGCAAGCATCCTTCTTGGTGGGGCATCTTCAAGACTTCTCTGGCCAGCAAACTTCAGTGGCGTTTGTAGGAAACCCATGGTGCCGTGCAGTCTACACTGCTGTGTCCCTCTGTGCCCATCCTTCCCAGCAGTTAGATGGCTAACTGGAAAATGGAATGTTTGTCTCCCTTTATTGCAATCGTCACAAATATGTTGGCTTCTCCCCCTTTACTTGGCTTCTTTGGGTTGGGGGGACAGGCATGGAAGGGGAGGAGAAACCCCATGCATCCTCCACTAGGCTCTTATCCCCAACCTCCTTATATAGAGAGGGGGTTAGTGTGCCTGGTGGGGTTGACTGAGGTAGGGCCATTTAGGAAAATTTCAGGAACATTCTGCTCCAGTTCTTGGTGGCTCTTTTTCAGAATGTGGGGACACATAGCACCTGTAGTTTTGGGTTATGGATGCTAGTGCCATTTTCAGGCAAGGGAAAAGTTGTTCTATTCAATAGTCTGTTACAGTAATTATCTATCATCTTTATCATCATCTCATTTTTTTCCCCTCTCCCTGCTCCTTCATCATCACCAGTAGGTAGATTGTCAGGTGGTGGGATGGGATGTGGATGACCCTCCCAGCCTAGATAAACAGCATGTAAAAAGGAATGAAGCCAGTGGAAACCATTTTGGCACATTCCAGCAACCGGAAAAAGTCCAGCACAGCTGAAGCAAGGTGTGTATAGGGGGAAATGGGGGGAAATGAGTCTGGAGAGAGGGCAGATGTCAGATAACCAAGGGCTTTGCAGATCATGCCCAGGACTTTGGACTGGAACTTATAGGTGACAGTGAGCTGTTGAAGGATGCTGGGGAGAGGCAAGATCAGGTTTTCAATGTAGGAAGGTCAATACAGAGGAGAGAAATGCATTCAGACGGAAATGGACTTGAGAAGTAATGTAATTTTCACAGTGCAGAGGCGAACTGAAGCCTATGCAGCGCCTTCATATGAGAAACTATCAAACTCTTAGAGGAAAACATAGGCAGAACACTCTATGACATAAATCACAGCAAGATCCTTTTTGACCCCCCTCCTAGAGAAATGGAAATAAAAACAAAAATAAACAAATGGGACCTAATGAAACTTAAAAAGCTTTTGCACAGCAAAGGAATCCATAAATAAGACCAAAAGACAACCCTCAGAATGGGAGAAAATATTTGCAAATGAAACAACAGACAAAGGATTAATCTCCAAAATTTACAAGCAGTTCATGCAGCTCAATAACAAACAAACAAACAAAAAAACCCAATCCAAAAATCGGCAGAGGACCTAAATAGACATTTCTCCAAAGAAGATATACAGATTGCCAACAAACACATGAAAGAATGCTCAACATCATTAATCATTAGAGAAATGCAAATCAAAACTACAATGAGATATCATCTCACACCGGTCAGAATGGCCATCATCAAAAAATCTAGAAACAATAAATGCTGCAGAGGGTGTGGAGAAAAGGGAACACTCTTGCACTGCTGGTGGGAATGTGAATTGGTTCAGCCACTATGGAGAACAGTATGGAGGTTCCTTAAAAAACTACAAATAGAACTACCATATGACCCAGCAATCCCACTACTAGGTATATACCCTGAGGAAACCA